TGTGAGCGTCGGCAGCAACCTGAAATCCACAAGCATTCCTTCGGCACTGTGACACCCATGTATAATCAATGTGGACTTCAGATTGCTACCGCCGCCCGGTGTTTACTGGGTTGTTTTTATGAAGCTGATTATAAAATATTAGCTTACTTCATAGTATAAGCACTTAAGTGTATAATCTGCACTATTAATCTGGTTTAATGGAACCGTGTTACTTTCATACTATCCATTATAAGAATAACTTGTTTTTATGAAGCTGATTATAAAATATTACCTCACTTCATAGTATAAGCACTTAAGTGTATAATTTGCACTATTAGTTTGGTTTAATGGAACCCTTACCTCATGTTACATCATATTCAAAAACAGAGCCGTGCTCAACCAGTTTGTTGTGTGCCTTTTAGGGCGGCCGAATTGAGGCAGTTAAATTTAAAAGAAACCCGATTGATAGGCGGCCAAAATGCGGTTGGGGCATATGTGCTTCAAAAGCCATACTAAAGGATATTACGGAGAATGATCAAGCAAATCATCAATCAAAGAAAGGAGAATGATCAAGATCAATAGAAAAACGAAGGAAATTTTGATCGTGAGTGGTTAATCTAACTCCGAAAAATAATACAATAATTTTCTTTTCAGCACACTTCTTACTTCATTTATGATGACAGTAAAATCTGGCAGCAAATATGGCAAGTGCAAGCAAAATAAATTTTCATAAAAATCCTCAGGCTACTACCTTTGTGAGATATCATTAAAAATATGCGAAAGTAGCCTCTTTCTGCAAACTCTCTTTTGTAACCATAAAAAATATCATAAAACATCTAACATGGTTTTATTCAAGGTGGCCTGCACTATATTCTTTATAACAAAGTAATGTTTTATAAACCTGAATAGTTTCCTAATACATCCAAGCCTGCAGGTACTGGTGTAATTTCTGTACAGCTATCAGTAAGTCCTGATTCAAGTTGCAAGTCTTGCAGCAGTCCTGCTAATAGCGGCAAAGTTTGCTTAGCCAATGCTGCAGTTAGTATCCCAAAGCCTTGTTGGCTATATTTAAAAATATTTAATAATTTATTCAAAGAAAAAAAATTTAAACAAAGTAATGATAATATTCAATCATTCACTTACACTTTAACAAGATTGACTCTAGGTAAATCTCTATTTTTACTAGGACTTTTTCCTTTATCATCCTTAAGTAATATACTAGTACTGGCACCTAACGCGTTCTGTAGTCCACCTACACTAATCCAAGCACCCAGAAATAAATGGTTTTGATATATCTAGCAGAATATGAAAAATACAAACATGAAATAAATATGAAAGCATTTCAGAACCCACCAAATTAAATAACTTACATGGCCTCCACCCTTAGTAGAATTTTTCAATACATTTCCTACATTTTTATACAATTCTAGTGATTTCTCCATAACATTCACGGCTAGCATATCTAGCTCATCTTCTTTTGTTGGTGTTACTGGACCATTTGTAGTCTAAAATATAGAATTAAGTTTTAATTATAGTATACATCACAATATCATTGATGTTATATTAATAATATGTTAATGATGTAATATTGATATAGAGTTAAAAATTTAGATAAAATCATTACCTGTGTTTTGGGCAGAGTACTACCACTCATATTAATAATGCTATAAGCAATTGTAGTTGAAACTGCACAATATAGACATGATAATGTGATCAGGCTAAGTTGAGAAATTTTTGCTGGAGTAAAAGGTTCCAGAACAGGTAAAGCCAATGCCATATTTACCAGAATAATATCAGATGATATTGCAGATAAACTGAAAGTAATGAAGTTTTTTTGTAATTTACAATAATAAAATACAACATGCTATGCAATCTGTTAACATATATGGTATTGGAATTTAGTTTTTTTTTTGGTAAATTTTTATGATTTAATCATGTTGATATATCAAGAAGTTTAAAATTTATTAAAACAAGTGGTAATCAATAATAAAGAATACTTTATTCATAACTATTATTACCTTGATTTTAAGGCAAGAGCATCTGAATGAGTACTGGGCATGCTCAAACCTTTATTATTTGTAATGGCCTCAGTATATTTAATTTTGTAACGAGCAACTGTTGGAATCGAGAGAGCTAAACCTAATAACACATCACCAGCCCCCAAAGTTTGCATAATATTGATATTCGCTTGTGAAAAAATCGTCTGAAAAAAGTTACAGATAATTACTATATATAAAACAAATAAAATATAGTTATAATAAAGAAAATTAATCATATTAGTCATGAGCAAAATTAAAAAAAAAAAAATAGATTAATTTAAAAATACACAACCTAGCCTACACTTAGTGATATTAAAAATAATTAAGTTTATTCATAAAAATTTAACAAGTAGAAGACCGCATGCCTACAGGTATGTCATTACATTAGTGGACTGCTTGCACACCCATGGGCACACAACGTGAATCGAAATTCTTTGGTGCAGTACCCAGGGCCGCGCCTGGCCAGCGCGCTGTGCGTGCCATACACGAAAATTTAAAGGCGGCCATACACGAAAAGCGCCTGTAACAAGAAGCGGCCGTAATAAAAAGCGGTCACATTGAAAGTCCACTGAATTAAAAGGCGGCCAAATTGAAAGACCGCTACATTAAGGGGTTAGAGATACTTGGAATTTTTGAAAAATCGATTTTTACTTTTTTGCATTTTCATTAAGTGTAGTATCTTGAAAATGTTCTCTGAAAATTTCAAGTTGTTCCGATGATTACTTTTTGAGTTATTGGACTCTTACCAGCGCGTTGACACAAGTGAAGAGCTCGATACTTATACTCAAGATTATTCTCCCTCACCTACTGATGTTTTAAAATCTTTCAAACCGATTTACGATGATCTCAGCAATGATAATTTACTTTCAAGATGTGTAGTTCAAGATTGAATCCATAATCAGAAAAAATTAAAAGCTTCAACCAATTAGTGTAAAAAATATGTCTAAAAACCATGAATACTAGTTCTACTATCGTACAAATAGCTGATTGTGTATACATAATCATTATTATTGATTATGGATACCCTAGGACCTAATTGTTTGTAATTCCCATTAATATGCTGAAAAATTGGATGCTGCACGTGTGAAAGTGGCAGATCAGCGCGCCAACGAAAACACTCGGGAGGCCAAAATGCTTCGTAGGCAACAGCAAATGCAAATTTTGGAAACTTGTACAATGGCTGATGAACTATTATATGGCCCAGAAATAGATGACTCGGTTTAATAATTCAATAATTCGAATTTCTGTACGTAAATCCAATGTAAAACTTTAAACGCGTTTTTCTCAAAACTATGTTTTTTGAACCGGTGACCACTGTAACTCAAAAACCGCTTAGTTAATTTTAATGAAATCTATACAGCTTTTAGAATACATAATAAACTCAGGCCTGATCAAAGAATTTTTATTTTTTCAAAAATTTCAATTTTTCAAGACCAATTGACTGTTGATTTTTTACCCAAAAATCTAGATTTTTTTTTTCTGATGCTGCCATTTTGTTAATTTTTGCAAAAAAAATAAAACCTTCGATCAGGCCCAGGATTATCTATTTATTAAAATTTATTTTTATTGGATTGATTTTAGATGAATCTCTAAGGAGTTATGATGGTCACCGCAAGGACCGTTTTTTGAAACAGGATCAACAAAAACAGCTATAACTTTGAAAATTTTTTTTTTTTCTGAAATTTTTGTTACTTAAAGTCAAAACATTGTATAATAATGCCGTATTAATATTTTTGAAAAAAAAATCGTTTAATAACAAAAAAAAAATACTAAAAATTCTCATTTTTTCGTGTCTTCAAGTACCCCTAAACCCTTAAGAGGCGGCCAAACTAAGAAACGATCCGTCCGATTTCTTAAAACTGATCAGCACGATTCCCAAATGATATCTTTCAAAAAGTTTCTGAATGTTTAAAACCAATGCAGGATTTTTGGCTGAAACATTTACGAAAATTTGTAGACTTTTCTGTTGATTAGAAACGGCTTGGCTGATTGTTACACAAAACTGACAGACGGTAGTCGTTATCTAGTTACATCAAATGACTTAAATTTTTTAAATAGATTTACCCGGTTTTCAGAGAAAACGTTGACAAAAAACTAAAAATCAGCTCATATACACACTTTTTAACAAATTTGGTCTCGAACGATTCAGAATGACTAGAAACATAGAGAAAACATAAAAATTACAAGTCAAAAACATATTTGATATTTTCTTATTATATTAATTTCAAGGGGGGCCAAAAAATGCACGCAGGCGGTTATATACCCAGGCACTGCCCTGGCAGTACCCTGGCATGTTAAAACACAATTTTCGGTACGGTTTCCAAAATATTAAATGTAGCAAATAATTAAATTATAACGATATTCAAATAACAATATTCAAATTTTAAATTTTTTTTTGGAATTCAGGAGAATATGGAACATTTCTGAACTAATAATTAGTATAATGTAACTATTATGAAGTATATTAACCATCTGACTTAATCACTACATACTAATTTATTGTTACTAAATTTCTAGTATAAATGTAATTACCCTTATTTCATTATGATGATCAGCTTCATCACTATTTTCTTTATCTGCTACATCAGCAGTACTTTGTGATATTTGACCGCTTGGGACATTTGCAGTTGAAGACTCTGAATGTAATAATGAATTAAGAGGCATGCCCAACTGCTCTATTATAGATGAAGCTAAATCAGTTCTGGAACGCTTTGTAGCATCCTGTTTAGATGTATCTTTCTCATATTCTAAAAATACATTCGATTGCCAATAAATTAAATCACAAAGAACTTTATAGTTGATCATTATCAAATGCATTTAAAACATTGTCACAAATAACATATTTAGAATAGTATTGAATAATAATTTTTACCAGTGCTTATGGTGAATTTAATATGTTCAGGTATTTGAGCATTTTTCATAATTGCAGTGAGAACTACAAGTTCGGAAGATGTTATAGAAGAATTGCCAGCACATAGAGATACCAGCGGAGAAAGCATTTGCTTTAATGTAAGAACAGTTTCTCCTCGAGTTGTATACTGTCTCAACTGTTGTAATACATAATTTGCCAAAATGGATGAAGCTTGTGTCACCAAAGGTATTTGATTTTTTGCCACTAGTTTGAAAAATAAATCATTATATCAGGCAATAAAGCATTGTAAGCCGATTTTATAATCATACTAACCCAAAATACATTTTGAACTAATGTAGTCTGCTGCTAATGAAGCAAAAGCTAAATAAAAAGTTTCATACGCCGGGTCGTGATCTAATAATTCATTTTCGCTGTAAATAAAACCAAAACGTCATCGTAAAGTGTTTTTAAAATACAACTCATTGGAAATGTCAAATGAGAAGCGTTTGACTTTTGATCAACGCAATAAGTTAAACACAAAAATTAATCATATACCTTTTTATAATAGCTTTACAAAGTTCTATTAAATCAGATTTCGTAAAACAACCGAAACTAGCAGATAAAATGGATTTCACAATTGAAGTCCATTCAACACCTCCACTATGAGCAGCCATTTTTGTAGGATTTTTGTCTTTATCGGACTCCCGGAGACGTTAAATATATATAGACTACATGATTTTGTTTTTTTCGTTAATAATATTGACAAATTCCAACAGATGTCAGAAGCATTTTATGCCTTTTAGTTTGGAATCTTTTAATATGTTTAATAGTTTTGTATTGTCAAATACAATGGTTCGACTACATTATTATCATTTTTTCATCAAATTTCTTTAATCAGCTTCATATTTTGTTAAAACTTAAGATTGAGAAATTTATAATTTAACAATGTAGAAGTAAGGTTATCATAACTTAAACGTGGCGCCATCTTACGAGCTTTTATCCATTCGTGAAGAAATTAGTATTCACCTTATATATACTTCAAAAATGCGTTTCGCAATGGTGATTTAAACTTACAGAGAAATATATTTTTCACTTTATTTTAGTTTACAAAAGACTTTTATTTAATTTTTTTAATGTGTAATGTTGTGTATTTGCAAACTTAACTTTATTTAAAGTTTGTCATATAACTTGATTCACTTTAAATGCATGTGCAAGAGTTATGCTATGATTTGTTTTGTCGTATGACGCTTTTGTCGGCAAAAATGACAGTTTGTTCTTGAAAATCAACGGCCGCACAAATTGTAATATTGCTTTGTATATTTATCATTATTACAAATTAATAAACTTCTTGACGCTGTTTATATATATATAATAATGGGAACTCCGCAATTAAACATTGCTTTACACCGAAAAGTGGAAGAGAGGCTACATCAGACTTTACACAAAAATCTATCTATTTTATTATTAGCTTATACACCGACAGTAGAATTCACTAATATTTTGAAACAGGTACGTCAAAAACTCTTTCAAAAAGCTAATCTGTTAATGTTAATGTTATAAAAATATGTAAAACTTATTTCATTTATAGGGAATGTTTATGAAATCGAATCCCAATGCTTTTCTTCACACTGCTCATTTTTTATTGAATATTATTGATCACGGAGACTTTAAGAGCAAGTTTGAGTGGCCTTTGTATGAAAAACGTATGGAAACTACATTTAAAAATACTTTTAGAAGCTATTTACCTGAGATGAATAATGTAAGTATATTTAATTTAATAACTTGGTTAACACCCATTTAAATTAGTAGCACATTTGTTTATATGCATAATTAATTTTCATCAAATATGGTCTTAAACTTAACAAAATATTTTAGAAATACCCATTCATTAAACTACCACCAGTAAAAGTTTCATTTATGGTTACACCTGGAGGCTTTCATTTTACTACTATGATGCTCAAGTTAAGTGAGTTAGCAATGATCGTCTATTTAAAGAAAAATGGAAAAGAAGTTTACATACCAAGTAATGAACCTAGTGATTTAGATGACATAAAAAAGGTGCTTAAAGATAAGTGTGATCAAATTGATCAAAAGTTAAATTTTCGAGTAGCTTATCGCAATAGATTCTTCAAAGAAGCTGAAAAAGAAGTGACGTAAGTTACTTAATATGATTCAGAAATATTTTGCAAAAAAATATGTTTGTTTTAGAACATTTTTATTTCAGAATGATTGAGAATTGCATAGCCGTTGATAAAAAGAAATTGGAAACTATAAAAGAAAATTGGAAACAGTATATACTAGATGTTGCTGATCTAACGGATACAGAGAAGTATTTTATTTATATCAGATTAAAGGTTGTGAACAAACATCACATGTGGTGAATTTCTATTTCATAGTCTGAATAACTATCTTTTGATGTAATTTTGAGAGTAATTAACTATGTGATGCATAACCAAAATTTTTAAATATAAAACAATGTTTTAATTATCAACTTCATAAAATAACTTTTTTATTTATAAAATTAAAGTAAAATTATCGTGCCAAAAATTATAACCTTTAGTTCTCTATATAATATTTTCATCTATTATAAACTTCTCCACAAAGTTAAATCACAAGCTTTTAATCTGTGTTAAATGATATAATATATATATATATATATATATATATATATATATATATAACATAATATAATATAAAGTAGCCAATAATCACTATTTTATAGAAAGATGTTAATTGATGATCCAAAGAAAGCGATATCAATAATGAAAAGTGAACTTTTGAAATTACTTGAGAAAAATGAAAATTTATCAAAGCTGCTTGAAAGTAAAGTAAAAGTGTATGAGGAAATTGATCATTTGTCGAATGTGCTTTTAGAGCGCACAGAGAAGAGCCATTGCTTGCAATATGACAACAATATTAAAGAACTTTGTTCGCTCAGAAAATATGTTGCAGAAGAATATATAGTAAGATTTCTGTAAATTAACATAATTTGCATGATCAATTAGTTATTTCTAAAATCTTATATACAGTTTTTATAACCTAAAATTTTGAACAAATTAACTGTACATTAAACATAACATTTTTCTTGTAGTCCGTCGTTGAGAGAATTGTTCAAAAAGGTAAACTGAATTTTCCGCTACTTTTGAACTGTTTAACATCAGTATTCAATGAAGTAGCTCCATTAATGCCTCAACAAAAAGTAAATAAAGATGCTATGATAAGTATTCAAGACAACTGCGCTATTTTGAAAAATGTATTTGCTGAGTTTGGTAAATTAAATGAACGTGTTTATTTTTTGTCAAATGAATTGCAAAGAGATCTTAATCGAGGTTAATATATTTATATATATATATATATATATATATATATATATATATATATGTAGTATGAATGTATAATAATTAGATAATATTACAATATGAATTTTATATTTTATCTATATTTTCAGCTCGTAGTGATTTTGAAAGTAGACCTGAATGGGATGATTCACCTGTGATATCATCCCTTAATTTCCTATTACCTGGTTCATCTCCTTATAGGGAATTAAAATTACATAATGATACAAATAGTAAGTATAATTATAAGTATGATTATATTATCGGAGCCAGTTTTTATCAGGCGTATATAGAATTTTTTAGAGAATGTTATCAAATTCTGAGATATTAGAATATTACAGACGTTTTTTAGGAATAATATTTTTCATCTGTTTCATATTTCTTTTTTTTAACACTTGTTACTGATAAATACTGAATTTTTATATATTATAATATATATATATATATATATATATATATATATATATATATAATTATATTTTAGAAGAAGATTCAGTTATGACAAGTGGAAGTAGATCAACAAGTATGTTTGATATTAGCAAGTTATCTGATAATTCCTCGAATAGAGCCATTGTGCAACCTGCTTGGTTGAACTCAAATATGATGTCTGTTAGAAAACCAAAACGAAAACCATTAAACAAATGTATGTACAGAAAAAGCATTTATCAGCTTACATTGACTTTAGCAATGTAATTTTATTGTTGTTGACTGAAAAATTTAAAGTTCTTAATTATATAAGTAGTATTATTTTATTTACAGCAAACCAACATTACCAAAGTTCTCCTTGCTTAACATCACCTTTGGTAAGAAATATTTCTCGGAAACAAGGATTAAATAATTCTCAAGAAAATACTGGTGATAAAAATGTGAATTTAATGGATTCAGTGAAAAGTTTCCACCACAAGTTTCCAGCAATGCAGAGAGAAGTACAATCAACAAAATTGTGTGACAACTTTGTCATTCCAATCAAATCAAACATTGACAACTTTGTGACTCCAATCAAGCAATGCAGAAAATCAATTATACCAAAACGGGATGAAATTATAAAACGCTTGAGCTTAGTGCCTGATGCAATGCCAAGACTGACATTAAATTCATGTGCTATTGTCAGTCCCCGTGGTGATTCAGATTTGCATTCTCCATTAGGAATCAAACAAACTATTGATGAATCAGTGACTAACAAGTTTAGTACAAGTTATATTGTTGATGAAGAATTATTAAATGACTGCTTAAATTCACCACTATTTGAGAATAAATATGTAGAGAGCTTAGTGAGCGGTTTTAGCGCAAGACCTTCAAAAAGATATAGCATAGGTCTTGGTGAGAATTTGCTAAATGTAAGTTCACCTATTGATCTTAATTATTCATTAGATTCAGATTAATTTATATTTAAGTATAAGTAAGTGATGTTTTCTGCTGAAAGATTTGTTTTTCTGTTTAATATTTTGTTTCAATCAGGAAAGTAGTGATTGATAAAATATTCTTCACAAAATTTACATATTGTTTATGTTAAATAATTGTTAATTGACGTTTATCTGCGTACTAATAGCATAGTTAGCATTAAAAATTTCTAATTTTGTGATGTGCAATTTAATATTTAAATATTACATATATCGTTAACTAAAACTAAAAATTTAAATTTGTTATATAAAACACATTCAGGCATAATTAATGCATTTTTTCAGAATGTATTGTAAGTTACAATTTTAATCTATATTTTGCATTGTGAAATTTTTATATTATTAATATTTAGTAATACAAAGTTTTCTATTGAATTCTTTATTTTTTGAAATGCAAAGTTTATTATGTGGTGTATAATATATAAGCATAAATTCTATTTTTATTCAAATATTATTTGTATAATTCTTCTAATTTAAAATATCATTAATTAATAACTAACTCTAAGAATTTGAAATATTCTAATATTTATTACCTGGATAGGTCAATATTCATGCTGCACTTCTAAAATAAGCATCTGCATATAGCACATCTTTTCTTGCCACTGTGTTTTGCACTGCATTTTTAGGATTTAAATTTATAATTCACTATATGAATTGTATCTTGTCATTTGTTTGTTCTTGCTCAATTGGAATATGATTCCTTAATACTAGATATATAATTGATTTGATTTTGTGCACTCATGAATTATTATTTACTGATCTGTTTCAACCTATTTAAGAGAAGTTTAATAAGAGATTTTATATAAAAAATACAAATAGAATATAAAATTTATGTTGGATTCTATCTATAGATAAATACACACTTACCATTAACTGGTTTATGTAATATTCATACGGAATAGTATCAGTAGCTGAATCAACAGCTGCTACCATCATTTC